ATTACAAATTTAGAAAAAACAGCAACTCATAAATGACCTATAAACTCATCATTAGGTTTTACATTTATATGATAGTAGTAATTAATGAAATATTCGTATTGACAGTATTCATTGTTGTTTTTCGACTACATTGAATCAATAAATCAATCGGCAGATCTCATTTAATAAGCATCAGTAACAAGGGGGGAAATAATATGCATTAGTATAACACTAAACTGCCTGAATGTCAGATAAATTAATGGAAGCAACACACATAATTTATGAATTTTTAGGCTCGACAGCAGGTCAGGGTAGCAATAGTGGCTAGTTCGACCTGTTTGTGCTGCACACAGAGCTCCGGTTGACTGACTGACTGATTTCAACGTAGAACTTCTACACCACTGTGCATCAGTTCGATTCACCACACTTCATTTAGCACACAAAGTAAGAGAAGAAAGTAAAAAGAGGACTCAAAACAGACGTAAAAAACAGAAAAATGAGGCGAAAACAATAGTGATATGGAAAAACAAGTAGAGCTCCAGTTGATATAAGCGAATTGCAATGACCTCTTCTGTTTGGAGTGCTGGGTATCTACAGGCCTTTAGTAATTTATTGGATACCCGATAGATGATAGAGAAAACTCTTCAATGCTTGCTAGCTAGCTAGCTTTATGGCCTGTTTAGACGAGGTGATCCGAAGTGGAACTGTTCATAGTTTCAACAGCTTTAGGTGTTCTCGAGTACGAATAATTTGATTCCTAGAGCAACAGGCAATATAATTGGCACCACAGGAGCCAGTGTTGAATTGATAGATAGAAATAGTGTCCATCCAATAATCATCAGTATGTCCAGTATTCAGTATTCAATATTAGACTGAATCAACTCTTAATATCGAACTTGTGACTTGTTTTAAAGTTAGTCAAGTTCTAGCCAACTGTAAACAGATGAAGAAAAGCACTTTATGTCAGTTTATAGAGAAATTAGCATACGTTAATCAAGTGGGAAGTAGGTAATTGCTTAATGTTTTCGTCCATATTAATTCTGCCTTGGAAATGGTCTTAGGTGTTGATCATATTATTTTATCGAGGAAAGCCGTTTCAGCTCTCAGTAGATATTTTATTCAAGTATTGGTTTGTAGGGATTTGGTGGATTGGTTACAGGATTTCATCATGAGCTGACATTGGTTAGGGTCCCAGTACTCTAAGTTTTCCAATGGTTCTCTAACCAATGTCAGCTCATGATGAAATCCTGCAGCCAATCAACCAAATCCCTACAAACCAATACTTGAATATCAATGAGATGCTCACTGGCGACTGGCCCTATTCAGGTAGGTAGTTACCTGGGGTTCCAGTGGGAAGTCTTGACCAGTAGGGTGCAGCCGGTCGGGTGTGAGGACAAATACTCGCCGAAGACATTGGCTAGCGGTTGCGCTATATCGTGAATTGGCAGAAGTTGGAATTCATGCGTTGGCCATTGGGTCGGGTCCCAGTGGCTTAATGGTCTACGAGCTCGCCTTGTAACTAGAAGGTTCTGGGTTCGAACCCCTGTGGGTGCACACTGTGAAGAGTCCCAAACTAGGACGAAACAACTGTCCAGTACTCCCAGGTTTTCCAATGGTTCTCTAACCAATGTCAGCTCATAATGAAACCCGATATTTGATTGTTTGTTATTAAACACTTGGCTAACTTTTGTCAGTATACATAAATGTAAAGTTAGGCGCAACAAAAAGAAATCTAAATGTCTTTAAATTCAATTCATTTTGATTAATGGTCATTTTGCAAGGTTAACTGTAATAGACCGTGATCAGCATTGAAGAATTGACAGATGCATCGGTTATTTCATACTATGAGTGATTGTTGCATATTGCCTGTTGCTCCGCCTGTATTGCTCTCCTCTGGTCTTTCCTGGGCTACTCAATAAGGTCTCTATCATATTGTGAAGGGTAGGGTATGTGGTGTGGTGTAACACACTAAGTCAACTCGTTACTACTATAGTTGACAGACACCTGACCCATCATGTGGGAAATGGGCTAAATTCATCATATTGTCTGACTCTCAGGATCCCCGTCGATTCACAACTCTCGCCTCCTTGCATTTCAACAGATAGGACTAGAAGTCATTATAAAAGATTAATAATAATTTGCTTTATTCCAAAACAGTACTTTTGATACAGAATGGAATTCTCTGCATTTTACTACAGTATTGCATCCAGTTAGTACATTATAAATAAATAGAATTCTACATAGATCAAGGAAATCTCAGTTCATTATGACAACAGCATATTGTCATGTCGGTAGCAAAGCCAAAGCTGAACAGTGTTTGAAGGTGTTAGAAAAGTAGGTGCTGTCATATTTACTGGCGTAAGCGAGAGAAAGAAAGAAAGCAGCACATAACGGAAAAAAAAGAGAAAGAGAGAGAAAGGGAAAAGAAAGAAAGAAAATGTTGTACCTATAAACGATATGAGTAGGAAAGACGAGGTCCAGTTGTTCTACTGACTATTTAATGAATTATAGGTGACACGCCTAATGCTTTCTTTATCACACAGAACACGAGCTCAGCAGGGTATGGTTGAGTTTTTGTCCTTGCTAGTGCGAGCATATAGTTTTCTACATAGGCTTCTGGTCCTGCCTGATGAGATGGAAGGGGAGAGTTGTGAATAAAGAGGGTGGTGTGAGTTAGATAAAATGGATTTAGCCCATTTTTCACATGAGTCCATGTGCCTGTCGACCAGAATACTAACAAGCTGGTTAAGTGGCACATTGCTTACCTCGCTGAAAAGCTTTAACATCCTACGTAATAAGATATAGTCTTTCTTCAGTAGGCCTGGAAAAACTAAGGGGAAGCAGTAGAGAATAATTATATACTTAACTTGCACAACCAAGTACAAAAACTCATCGGTGACCCCCTCCATTTTACCCACGTTCTATATGAAAGAGTGTTAAGTGTGAAACCTGCGACTTATTAAGTTATCACCGAAATAATTGGCTCTTTTATCCTCTCTCTCCTATTTGTAATCTATGGTGGCACTCTATGGCACTTCAGTGAACTTATAATTTTAGTTGTTAACATTATTGTCATCATCATTTTACACTTTTTGTAGATTTTCGACTTTACTTTCACTGCAAATACCAAGAAAGCTGTTATTATAGATACTGGTTACGGATACCCTGTAATAATATTTTTATTTGTTATTGTTTTTGCTGTTGTCAAGTATATTAGATGCAATCTTTTATCGAATGCTGAGAATTTCACACTGTACCATAAGTAGTTCTATTTTAGAATAAAGTAATATTATTATTTCTTTTTTAAACCGACATCAGTTAGAGAAAATCAGGGAGAACCAGACAGCACGTGGTCTGGTAACCTGAAAGTCCAGGGTTCGGTCCCTGGTGGGGTCTTGGGTGCACACTACTGAAAAGTTCCAAAATAGGGGGAAACATCTACCTGATCGGTTCTCGTTGGTTTTCAATTATCTTTGTCTCTCTTTTCAAACATACTCACGCCTAAAATATGGTTAGGATATGTTAATAATACTTTTGTTGTGCTAAAACGAGATCTACACAATTCATTCTTGGAAAAATCGAGCAATCGACCTCCCAGCACCCAGGTTACTTAGGAAGCAGAATCAGGCGTCGGCAAGCTACTTTTTCTAGACTCCCGAGTTAAAAGGAAAGGAAACGAATATTTTTATTAAATCTGTCTTCAGGAAAAAAACCCACTTCAACAAATATTTAGACTTTGGATCATCAGCAGAAAGTGATCAGTTGTTTCAAGTCTTCTTACACGACCACACTCCTTGATAACGGATGAGAAGGAAAAAAGAAGATGAAATATCAAAGATTACTGCAATACTCGAGAAAAATAACTACCCAAAGGACTTCATCAACAAAGTCAACACTGACATTTAATATCGTCGAAAACGTATTCCGAAGACATGGGCCTCAACAGTTGTCATTCCATATAGATAAGAAACGTTAGACAACATCAGGAAAGTACTCAATATGCACAGCATGAGAGTTTTCTTCAAAACATCAGACACGCACATTACATGGCAGCCTTGTGCATGTGAAAGACCAAATCTCCAAGGATTCTCAATAAACATCGGACAAACCTCGCCAGAGAGAAATCAATATCACAAGAAATGAACACCGTAGAGCATCTGTTCGACCAACAAGAAATCCAGTAGAATTAGGAAAGTTTGAAAAATCATCAGCCATAGGCCTACACGTGACGCTATAGAATCAGGTCACAAAATTGATCTTGACAATATTGAAATCATCATCCAGAAAAATTTCAGAAGTCACAAAGAACGTCTAATATCAGAAACTATTGATATCAAGTGGAATTCAAATTGTCTGAATAGGAATGATGGACTAAAGCGGAATTTTACCTAGTTAAAACAACCCCCTCCCCCATGAAGTGACAAAATAAACACGAATGTGATAAGCAATTTCAGTATGTTAACACAAACATGCTGCTTTTATAATTTTACACGCGCTTATCAAATCCAAAAATCTACACCTGGTTTTGTTATCTTTATCAATTGGCCGATTTGACAACGAAAAATGACCTCATGCTGATGAACGATGATTAAGTTGTTAAATACAGGTTGAAATTTTGTGGTGAATTCTGGTTTAATATTGATACTTTGATAAAGCTATTAGCAGTAGCATTAAATAGCGAAACGTCAGCAAAAACAATAACAACAACAGTATCGTTTTGTGTTTTCCATTCATTACGAGATACAAAAAACTTTTATTATAATAATAATGAATGTCATATATGCAATGCGCAAATTGTTTTCTTCAAACTGATAAAAGTGACCTTAATTTAGACCATATATGAATGTGAATGCTCTCTCCAACTGATAATGATGATAATGTTTGTTATCGTGATGAAAATTTAACTATTGATTTTTATTTCAGTAGGTCGCCGCTGAATAATTAATTTGCTCATAATACTCTTCTGTGTTCATCAATTGTATTTGTTTTTTTTCTTTTTCCTAAAAAAATTTAACTTGTAGGCTTATTCATCCCGGTCAACACTGCTTGATTGTAATTCATCTAGTTACAAGCTGAAATCACTGGCCGATCGATGGATCGATTGGTTGAAATATGAAATCAATGAATCAGAAGTGTTTATGAATGAAACTACACAGTTTTGGAATGAAGCTATCCAATTTCTATTCGATGAAATCTATACATTAAGACCAACTGATTTCTTTTATGTTACTCAACCGTTGAAATCATCACCAACAACAACAACAGCAGAAACTCAGACGAACACCACTACACCACCAGACGATCATCAATCGGGAAATTTTTGTTCTCACAGTGTACTACGTGATCTTGTTGGCTCATCGTTAGGTCGTATCGTCTCAGAGTTTATATCAAAAATGAATCATGATTTCTTTACATGGTTAACTACTGACGGTACTTTCCGACTGGCTATCTCATCCAATTCATGGAATACTGCCTCTGCTGATCCATGTCCATTCACAGTGTTAACTGATCCTGGATTACGGTTGTGTCTGTTAGTGACTAGTTTTCTATTGGTATTTCCGTATAATCATTTTCTGCCAGATCATCTGTTGGATAATTCAGTGTCTTCATCGTCATCATGCTTGCCGTCGACTACGCCTGTGTCTCGACTTCAAATTATGATCAAGTTAGTTGACGATGTGAAGCTGTCGACTCCGACTAGAAATGAGTTGAACTTGTTGAAAAGTATGTTACAGACACTGATGAGTAAAGGTGCACAACTGTCGTGCACTAGTTGTGTAGATAAATGATGATTTTGGCATATGTATCATTATACTACTTATTTATTTGTTTATTTACTTATCAGTTCTCAGGGATTTTGATAAGAAAATTCAGATCTCTCTATCCATGTTTTGCTTTTATATATATTTTATATTCTTCAACTGCATTATTGTTTTTTTGAAGGTATTTCTTATTATTTGACTTTCCGCTAATTCCAAATTCATCTTTATATTCGTTTTTTTTTAAATTAACGACAATTTCCTCAAGATTCCAACAAAATTGTGCTTTTTTTTTTTTACAAAATATTGAACTTTTTTCTTTCAGCAATTATTATTATTGTATTTCGCTTTTTAACAGGTGTATGTTACTAATTTGGTGAATTAAAATTGTGTCTTTGGAGTAGCTTTATGTTTGAAGTAATTTGATCGATGAATCGATAGATGGTGGACTAGCAGTGGAATCCACCCGAATGCGTATTTCGTCCTATTTGTCATTCATCAGCTAGTAGATGTACCTGCTCTGACGAAATTTCAGCACGGATACAGAGGGCTAGTTTCGCACATGCCAGTTTACGCCGTCTCTGGCTTAGTAGACGTGATATCCCACTATCGAACAAAGGGTGGGTGTACTGCTTAGTGGCAGTCCGCTCCATCCTCCTTTATGCCTAGATGTGAGATCTGGCCATTGAGAGCGGAAGACATGAAAAGCCTGGCTAGTTGTCTTTGATCATAGGTGCCTGCGTTCTATCTCCCGTGTGAAGTGGTATAATAAGGTGAGCAATACTGAGGTTAGGCGTTGAGTGCTAGGTAAGGAGGGGAAATCAATCGATGAAGCTGTGAAGTTACACCGATTGAGGTGGTTAGGACATCTGTTACACACGCATATCTAGCCATCGCCTTCCTCGACCGACGGGCTATGTTAGCTGACATAGGATCGATCAGGTTGGAAAGGAGTTAGCTAGTGGTGGTCAAAGTAAAACATAGCTTTATCAGTCAATGAAATCCACAACAGTTAGTTTAAGCCAGTCAGTCAATCACGTAGGCAGGTGTAGACTTCCTGATTAGCTGGTTTGGGTCCTCGGGACGTTAAGAACCATTGGAGACTGGAGACAATTTGTGATATGGCTGAAAATCGTTCTCAATGGCAGACGCACATGCATTCACTCTATGATCTCCGATATCCATTGGACCCTACTATTTTTCCATGTTATAACTCTTTCTCTACCACCATCTTTCTGCTTATTGTCGTTCTTTCGAATCTCTTTTTGTTTTCTCTCTTTTGTCATTCTTTGTGTGCGATATGGAGTTTGCTAACTGGAACTGGTGCTCTTCTGTGGAAATTTCTATGTAGAGACTAGTCAGAGAACGAAATAAGGAAAATAAATTCAAAATCATTGCTAAGATAGATGCACTACACTCAGTAATTCTACTTCTAATCGACCGATGTTTTCACAATACAACTCTTATTTTATAAGACTGCTTTTGAACAACGAACTTACCTTATTTCACAGGAGTATATGGATCGATAGGTGCGCTTATTGATACGTTTGTTTGATCTGAAACACGGTGATACAATATTAAAAACTGGATGTCATATCCAATAAGTTTATGTAAAATGGAATGATAGTCTACCACACTGCTCAAATTCTACTTTAGCACGGGATAAATATATACCTGCAAAATTATAAGCTGTCACCAAGAGTGTTGGTTTACTAGGATTTGATTAGCTTCAAGTTTGACCACAAGTTGACGTCAGTTAGAGAACCGCTGAAAGCCAACAGGAATTTTTTATTTTTATTCCTTCACTTTCCCAGTGGAGCATAGGGCTTCAAGCTAGTGGCTTGAAGTTTCTGTAGCAGTGTTTATTTTTACAGGATGAGGTTGCTAGCTTCACACCCAACCTTTCCTCTTCACCAGCATTATTTCTGGTTTAGTGGGGCAAAGGAGTGCGTCGGTCGGGTATCGAATCCCGGACCACGTGCATGGTCGGCGAGCATCCTAACCGCTGTGCCACCGACTCACCTTTTTATTTTGGTTAAAGCTTGATTCCACACCGTATTTTCGGTACAGGTATGGAATTTTCAGCCTGTGATATCGGTAGCCCAAATTTTGCAGGCCGACCATTGATATCAGTGTGGTGAGAGCTGACTGCTAGCCCAAGTCGGTAGACAGTAATTGAAGTCAATGTTTATGTCCCCAATATTGGTGGTGAGAAAATGAGAACAAAGGCTTTGCGTAGGCGGATACAGTTAGAATATGGATGATCTGACACAGTCACAAAGCTTAACTTTCTGTGAGAAACAACCAATCAAATGACTGTATTTTCTACTAACAATAATATACATGAAAATCTATAAATATGTGTTGATTTTTCCTTAATAAGCGATCTGTTGCCTGGCCCTTGTCTTCTGTTGTTACATCAGGTGTGCGTCGGCCGCGGGTCGAATCCCGGACCGTGTGAATGGTCGGCGAGATTCCTAACCACTGTGCCACGGACGTATGAACCAACAGGAATTACTGGGGGACTATTTCGTCCAGTTTATTTATTATTTTTCTTTATTTTGTTCCTTTACTTTCCTAGGGGAACACAGGGCTTCAAGCTAGAGGCTTGCAGTTTCGGTAGCAGGGGTGTTTTTATTCTTACGGTCTCATTGCCGGCATAGTAAGGTAAAGGAGTGCGGCGGCCGAGGATCGACTCCCGGACCACACGCGTGCACCCTACAGTTAGGGACTCCTTAACACTGCGCATCCACCAGGGTACGAACGGACCCTGAACCTTCGGCTTATAAGGCGAGCTCTTAGACCATTCAGTCACTGGGAACCTTATTCATTGGCTCATGAATTCCAAGTTTAACCAATTCGCAATATATATAGCACAACCGCCCGCGAATGTTGTAGGTGAGTAACTGTTCACTTACCCTATTTGGCGGACTTCACTAGTTATGATTTCTCGCTAGAACTCCAGGTAACTTTCTGTATAGAGCCAGTCACTAGTAAGCATTGGATTGATTTTTAAGTGTTTGGTTACGGGTTGAATGGTCTACCAGCTCGACTTGGTGCAGGGTTCGAATTCAGCCGGTGAGTGGTGAGTACTGCTGAAGAGTAGGAAACCAGGACTGAACAGCTGTCCAGTACTCCCAGGTTTTCCAGTATTTCTGTAACTGATGTCCGCTCGTTATCAAACCTGTGTTACCAAAAGTCTCCAACCATTGAATTTTCACACCTCACACATCGAAATATACAAGATCTCAGCTACGATTTACGAAGTGATTCGGTAGATTAATTAAAACAGGGTATTTACATTGATAATATTAGTCAACAAGAACATGAATATGAAATTAAAATTTATAAAGCACAAAATAATTGAGCAAAGAATATCCTTTTCGATAGATTCTTCTTCTGGCTCTACAATCATTTACATACGTAGAATATTCTAGAATAGTAGTCAATACTAATATTGGTTTTTTTTTAATAATATCGATTTGTAAAGTATGATCACAATGGAATTAAAGATGCTTAAATTATAACAATAATAATAATAAAGGTATAGTAGCAAATAACCTCGCCTAGATTACTAGGTCACTAGTATTCTAGCCGGTCCCAAGCCCGGATAAAGAGGGAGGGTTGGGGCGTGGTGCTAGCAACTCCACCCCCAAAACTTAACCAAATTGCTACTAAAACTTCAACGCACAAATATATTAAAAATTCTACAAATACAAACAATGACCTTATTTTTCGCTGGAATCGCGGAAGTGAAATGACGCGGGCTGGTGAAAGCCTTCGGGAAGCCAGTCAGCCGATGTGCCTTCTTTCGATGAAAGCAAAAATAAGGATGGGGACGTGGAATGTTCGTACAATGTACGAAGCTGGGAAGGCTGCTCAGGTAGCCGCAGAAATGAGGAGATATAAAATAGAAGTGTTGGGAATCTGCGAGAGCAGATGGAACGGATGTGGAAGGAGCCAACTATCAACTGGAGAGACAATAATCTACTCCGGTCACCCAGAGGACAATCACGAGCACACCGAGGGAGTAGCCATCATGATGTCACCAACAGCGGCTAAGGCTCTCATGCAGTGGGAACCAATCTCCTCCAGGATAATGACAGCCAGGTTCAACTCAAAAGGAAAGAAGGTTACAATCATTCAATGCTACGCGACTACAAGCGTCTCAGAACATGAGAAGAAGGAGGATTTCTACAGTCAACTACAAACAGTAATGGACAACGTCCCAAAGAGCGATATCAAAATCCTGATGGGCGACATGAATGCGAAACTGGGAGGAGACAATACAGGAAGAGAACTCACCATGGGTCGTGAGGCCCTCGGTGAAATGAACGAAAATGGCGAACTCTTCTCAGACTTCTGTGCCTTCAATGATTTGGTGATTGGTGGCAGTGTGTTCAAACAGAGGGATATACACAAGGCAACATGGATTTCACCAGATGGACACACCAAAAACCAGATAGACTTCATTTCAATCTCAAGGAAGTGGAGACGGAGCTTACTGGACACAAGGTCTAGGAGAGGAGCAGATGTGGGTTCAGACCACTATCTAGTACAAGGGACTTTCAAGGTGAAGCTGAAAGCCTCGAGGATACCTGGGAATAGGCCACAATGCAAGTTCAACACGCAAAAACTGAAAGACACAACCACAAAGGACACTTTCACTGCAACTGTCAGAGCAAAGCAGGAAACACTACGTGGCACCACTGAGGAACCATCCGTGGAAGACCATTGGAACTCTCTGAAAGTAATTTTCAACGAAACGTGCTCAACGGTTTTAGGAAGAAAGAAGAAACAAGACAAGGAATGGCTCTCAACAGACACTTGGAAACTAATAGAGGAGAGGAGAAAGGTGAAAGAAAAAAATGATTCAATGCAAAGATGGACAAGAGAAAGAGACGCTGAGCTCAACTTACACAGCACTGGACAAAGAAGTGAAGAAGAGTGCCAGGAAGGACAAAAGACAATTCTACGACAACCTGGCTACTGAAGCTGAGAAGGCAGCAGGCAAAAGGGACCTGAGGACATTATATCAGATAACCAAGTCTCTATTCGGGAAGAGATCAACACAAGTGAAACCTATAAAAGACAGCCAAGGGAACCCAATTACCAAAGAAGAAAGACAGATTAAACAATGGGCGGACCACTTCAAAGGACTCTTGAATCGACCACCACCTACAACCCGTCCAGTAA